AATTGGTAGAATTACATTCCCTATTAGGTCAGATACCGACGTCGAGGCGACCCGAATCTGTATTCCCCATTTAGGTGCAAATAAGGGTCGTCAGGCGGTCGAACCGACGTTGGTATCCGACGTAGGGTTTATTGGACGCGACGTATACCCGACGATAGATAACGTCCAAATGCTACTTGGGATCTGTTGGTAATTTACTTATTTCTTTACTCATTTATGGCTCTAATTCAATCAGCAATCGACACGAAAGAGAATTAAAAAATATTGACTCAAAAATGAAAACTAAAGAGACAGCTTTATTTATTTGTCAAATTACATAGAAACCAACGCCAACCCAGCACAATATTTTTTCTACTCGTAATAAATTCCTTGAAATAATAATTTCTGAATATTTTTTAAAACGTAACTCGCTATGGAAAAAAATATTGTTTTATACACAACGATAAAATTGCATTATCGTCTCCCGAAATTAATTAAAAAAAATGAGACATCGAATTTGACAATGACAAAATCATATTTTTGGTGGTATTTTAATTATAGCTTCCTTTAGAGCGCATTATAAATTTTTAGTAACTCGGAGGTAGATTTTTGCAAATATCTTTTAGATGCCGATTCCAAATAACACGAAATTTTAGACGAAAGTACAACTTTAACGCCTCTTCATAAAAGTCTAATTCAATTTTTGCATAAAATCATCTGGGAAGATAATATTTGACCTTTTCAAAATTCACATGGTCTTTCCTATGTCCCGTGTTTCGATGCACCACACGGTATATTGATACAGCATAGTCAAAACCTAAATAAAACTCCAAAGTCATCGTCCTTCACGAGCGAGATAACCGACCAGAAAAATAATTAAAAAATTTGTCAGATCCTATCGAAACAATTAAGCAAGAATTTGTTCTTATTAGAAGTCGATTTCGGCCCCATTTCAATTTACATAGTTACTCACTGCTATCTCAATCGGGCTGTAAAGAGCCGTGTAAAATTTCATTAACTTTTTTGGCGCGCCTCGGACGGCTTCGAATGGGAGGCAGGTGATGGGGCGAGAAATCGAGATTTGGAGATAGAGATGAGGCAAAAAAATGAACGACGTCAAACAAATTATACGGAATGAATAAATGTATATTTCATATCAATTAAACTTTTAGTTACTTAATAGAGGGCGCGATTTTTAAATTCATTGTTGCCAACCATGGACATATTCCTAATATGTCTATTTGACCATATTTTAATCTTACCGTTTTTGAAATATTTATGTTTTTGTCAAAATACAGTAACATTTTTAATGCTTGATTTCTCTGGGCGCGTTTAAGTTTTTAAAACCAAAATTGTACTGAAGTTTTTCTATTTACTAAATTTTGTGTTGCCAGTTGCCATAATAAAAATTATACTACCTTATACAGGGTGTCTAAAAAATTGATTTTAAATAATTACTAGCTTAAACCGTAATAACTTCTTTAATTTAAATGAAACGCTCAATATATGTTACAAGAATCAGATGCACAATTTCATTGTCTATCAAATTGTATTACACCATTTTTTACCTATCTCTTCAAGTTTTCGTAGAAAATGCATTTTCTTATAATTTAGATCTCATCTATACTAATATATAAAATCCTTAAGTGACTGACATACTGATTAATCACGATCCTGCTCAAACCACTCAACGTAAGAAGCTCAATTTTGGCATACAGGTTGATTCTAGGGTGTAGAGGTTCGATAAGAAGGGATTTTTCGAAATTCCAGTTCGAAGGGGGTGAAACCACCCCTCAAATATTACAATATTTTTTATTTATAAAACGGTCAAGTTTCCGAAAAAACGCTTAAACACGTATATTTTATTTTGTTTTTTACATATTTTAAGATTTTTTAAAAATGTATACAGGGTGTTTGGAAAAATCTGGTCATTGCGCGGGTTTTCATATAATGCCGTTAAGGGGTATAACTCGTTACCAACAGAATTGTTGAATTTGGGTGAGAATGCGTTTAAGCATAAATACAGAGAGCATCTTTTAATGCATTCGTAATTTTTCATATTTTTCTTTTTTTTATACTTTGCTTTTGCATTGTACATTTGAAACTTTTTTTATGGCAATTTGTAAAACATTATATTTAATTATTAAGTTTGCATGTTCTGGTTAAGTTGAGTAGCTATTGTAGCTAGACTACGCCAGACTTGCAATTTTGTTACCATCTTATGTATATTTTTTTGTAAAATAAAGGCAATTTATTATTATTATTATCGATTAATCGCGATCCTGCTTAAAGCGCTTGACGTAAAAAGCTGATTTTTGGAAACAGTTTGACTTTAGGGTGTAGAGGTTCGATAAAAAGGGATTTTTCGAAACTCGAATTCTAAGGGGGTGAAACTACACCTCAAATATATTTTTTTTTTAAACCGATGAGTATTCCGGAAAAATTCTTATACACGTATATTTTATTTTGTTGTTTTACATATTTTAAGATTTTTTTATAAATTTATACAGGGTGTTTCATAAAATATGACCATTGAGTAGGTAATCACGATTCTGCGTAAACTGCTTGATGTTTAAAGCTGGCTATTTTTGGCAAACGGATGGACTGTGGAGTGTAGAGGTTCGATAAGGAGGGATTTCCCGAATCTCAAATTCCAAGAGAGTGAAAACGCCCCTCAAATATTACAATATTTGTTATTTGAAAAACGGTTAGTCTTTCGGTAAAACGCTTGGACAAGCATAATTTATTTGTTTTTTTTACATATTTTGAAACTTTTTGAAAAATCATACAGGGTGTTCCAAAAAGTTGGGTAATTTCTTAACCACGATTCTGCTGAAACTGCTTGACGTAAAAAGCTTATTTTTGGCAAACGGATTTTTCGAAAGTCAAATTCCAACGAGATGAAACTACCCCTCAAATATTACCAAGTTATATAATAATATTGCCATATTGTTTTTTCTCATGCTGACATAAATGTGAGAAAATTTTATCCAGTTTGTATTCTAATGGAAATTCTTGCGTTGCTTTATCATCACCATTACAAATGATTAATTCGACGCGAACGAAGTCGCGGGTACACGCTAGTTTATCAATATACCCATGGAATATTGACATTTTTTTAAAGCAACAAATGTACAAAATGTACAGGTGCTAAAAATAATAGTATTTTAAGCCCATTTGTTTACAAAAATAAAACTATTTAAATCTTTGCAAAAGAGTATTATCAGTTAAATATACCCCCATTATTTGCGCCTAAAAATTAGTTAATGACATACTTAATTGTTTTAGGTAATAAAAAATTATCCTAAAAATAAATGGTGGATTTGAATCAGAACTATAATAATAAGTTATGAAAATGAACGTCTCCGTTGTTATAAAAAATAAGCATTCGTCAAAAAATTAAATAAAATTTTTAAGGTGTTACTTTTTACCAGACTGTCTAATGCACATACAAAATTTAGTTTTTCAGTATTTGGAGCAATTATTTAATCAACGCGAACAGTCAATTAATGTAGTCTGAATACTAGGATCATATTAATTGGTCGTCTTTTACAAATATTTAAACAGTTCTTTTTTTTAATGAAACTAGCGAATTATGTATCGACAGTATTAGTATCTGTATTCTTTGAAAATGTGTTATATCTTTAAAAATAATCTTAAATGTCAATATTCCATGGGTATAGTGATAAATGAGGTCTAAATTATAAGAAAATGCATTATCTACGATAACTTGGAGAGATAGGTTTAGAATGTATAAAACAATTTGATAGACAATTAAATTGTGCATCTGATTCTCGTAAAATATACAGGGTGTTCTATTTAAATTAAAGAAGTTATTGCCGTTTAAAACTAGTAATTATTTAAAATACATTTTTAGACGCTCTGTATAAGGTAGTATAATTTTTATTATTGCAACACAAAATTTACTAAATAGAAAAACGTCAATACAATGTTCGGTTTTAAAAACTTAAACACGTCTAGAGAAATGAAGCATTAAAATTGTTACTCTATTTTGACAAAAACCTAAATATTTCAAAAACGGCAAGATTAAACTGCGGTAAACCTTAATCAAATTTACCTTTATTTTAATCGTAGAAACTAAAAATGTAACGTAGAAATCTCATCGTAGAATCTAAAAAAATACAACTTTGATATTTTTTTATTTATTTTGGATACTCTTGTATCTTGTAAAAATATTTTTAAATTGTAGCTGTAATAGTCCTTGAACGAAACCAAAACTTACAATTTGTAAAAATCTAATCGTTTAGCTACAATACTCCGTGTCGTACGTGGTGAACAATCCTGTATAAAGAACATTGACTTAACCCATTAACGCCTAGCGTCACCGTGTGGTCACAAGGGTAAGGCTCCCTATATTTGACGCCTGCCCCCAATCTTCTACTTCTATCGGATATGTGGCGCCATGAGTCTCTTTAGAATGGTTCTAATAAGCATCAGAGGAGTTACAGTTATACTTTGTGTGTGATTTATGACCCTGAGATAGTTTTCCGTTTAGTAATTTTTGTTGTTCTACAAAACTGCCATGGAACCAAGGTTTGAGTAAGTATAACTTTTGATATTTTCAAAATATGGCGTTTATATTTGTCAGTATGTGAGAGAAGACATACAATCAGGTATTAATTGTGCCGGTTGGAGTTTTTAGGTTATATCTTTTCAGATACAGGTGCATATATTAAGTTGTTACCATATGGTAACGCTAAGCGCATGTACTACCTGTTTTTTGCTCAAATAACGGTTTTGTTTTTAGGAGAGGTTTTACACTTCAAGAGGCTTTAGAAATATTTATTGAACCACCCGATGCCGGCGTCCTGACTGATGTGGACTCGGGAGATGAAGATGGGGGTGGATTTGTGGACAACCTATCTGGCGGACAACTTCGAGCTCAAGCTGAAGTAAAACTTCTGGACAATAATAGAATTGGTGGATGCACTTCTGATGATCAAACACTTTCGCAAGAGAGTGCTCTGTCACAGCGAGATTGACCTGTATTGCACAACATCATGCCACAAGTAAATGTTTCAGCTAAGTTAGAAGAATTCCAATGGATCCAGGGCGATTTGGAGCCAAGTCGCCAAAGTTTTCCAGATGGTAATCATTTGCAGTATCAAAACTTGTCTCCGGTAGAGTTATTTGAGATGTTCATTGATGACGAAGTTCTGTCTATGTTGATTGAGGAAACCTTTAGATATGCCTTGTTCAAAAACTGCCCTGATCCACGTGTGACTACTGAAGAGATGAAATGCTACATTGGAATACTCATTCTTACCGGGTATAACGATTTACCAGGAAAGAGGTTTAATTGGGACTCGGACAGCGATATGAGAAACGAACTCGTATACAATTCAATGCGTAGAGATCGTTTCTTGCAAATTTCCCGATTTATTAATTTTGCTGATGATAACCATCCAGATTTATCAGACAAAATTTGGAAAATGTGTCCCCTAATCGGCAAAATAAAAAGTAAATTTTTGGTTCCTTTTAAACCTGAAGAGCACTTATGCTATGACATAATGTAATATGATAAAATATTTCGGAAAGCATAGCTGTAAGCAATTCATAAGGGGTAAGCCTGTGCGCTTTGGCTACAAAATGTGGTGCCTCAATACCAGTACTGGGTACCTTGTTAACTTTGAAATATACCAAGGAAACAATCCCCGCCGTTCTCCGGAATACGAGAAACTATTCGGAAAAGCGTCAGCTCCAATGGTAACAATGCTGGACGAAATTGGAAGAATAAAGGGTATTCAACCATACAAGCTTTTTTTGACAATCTTTTTACGGGTACCAATTTATTGAAATACCTAAGAAATCATGGGTATCACGGTACCGGCACAGTGCGAGAAAATAGACTCCCTAAAGGAAAAAAAAACATTTGAGAAACAACATAGAGGCACTTCTGAGTCAGCTCTTGATAAGGGTAACGGAATTTTAGTTGTTCGCTGGGTCGATATTGGTGTTGTCACCCTAGCTTTAACATGTTTTGGTTTGAAATCAATGGGAACCGTTCGTCGCTATGCAAGTGCCGAAAAACGAATAATACAAGTTTCTCGGCCAAGTGTTATTGGTATTTACAATTCTCAGATGGGGGGAACGGACCTTATGGACTAAAACTTATCAAGGTACCGCATTGGTGTAAGAGGAAAAAAGTGGTGGTGGTGTTTGTTTACATGGATTCTGGATGCATCTATGCGGAATGCTTGGCAAATTCACAAGAAAACCAAAGGAACTCTACCACAACTGAAGTTCAGAAGAGAAGTTGTCAAATATTATTTGACAACGTTTGGTACGCAGCCAAAAGGTCCGGGTAGAGTTTCCACATCTTCGAGTTCAGTTAGTTTGAATAGAGTATCCGACAATCTTCGTTACGACAAACGAGATTATCTGGTTGCTCGAGTTCCACAAGAAAAACGACGACTATGTGCTGGGAAGGGTTGTTCCACAGTCGGTAGAACGATGTGTAAAAAGTGCAATGTCGGACTCTGTATTGTCTGTTTTTTCATATTCCATACTCTATAGGTGTTACCTGACCATAAAATAATGTATTTATAATAAATTTAAATAAACATGTATGTAAAAATTTTCCTTCATAATATTTCCAAAACTGGGTAGGCAAACCGCCTAGTGTTACCATATGGTCACATAGTTTTTTTCGAAAAGTCTGAGAAAAAATGAAACTTTTTCTCTACAGTGTGTCTTAATTAACTCCTAAGGTAACTAAAATGAGTATAATGGCCATTTTTTCGAACAAAAATTAAATCAGGCGTTAAAGGGTTAACAGACAGGACACAATGTTTTAACAAGCAAACAGAGCAATCTCTTGACATTATATTTTCATGTCACGACGCGACGCCTCGGCAAACTTATCGAACCTTCCCCATATCGAAAACAACCTTAATATCATCCATACTTTACAACCGATTTTCCATATTGTCTACAAAACTTGCTCGGCACAGAAAGCCGGTGTAAATTTCCAGCGCGGCGAAAAACTTTTCAACTAAGATAAAAGTTCCTCCTCCGACCCATTACCGGCACATCAGACGCCCTTAATGGCGGCAAAAGATGGAGGGGGCGCATCTTTTTATTAAGGATGCTGCGTGCATCCCGGCACACTGCAGCCGCGGCCCCTAAATCATATTTCGCCGAGGGTATGTGGAGTAATCGCGCTCCTAACTTGGCAGACGCTACTTTCCGGAGATTCTTTTGCGGTGGAGGGTTGCGATTATGAAAGTTTCGTACATCAAACGGGCGTAGTGGAGGAGTACTATCGTGTGTTTCTTGAGGAGACGTTAAGTGGGTTGCATAAGGTTTAGATTTTTTTTTATCTAGAGCACAGTCAAGCACCCTTTAAAAACTGGCACTAGGACACGTGCTTAAGGTTTTTACGATTATCAAGTTGTTTATTAAATGTTTAATTATTCAGTAGTTTTGTCTAAATTTACTACAGTTTTTATTTTTAGTAGTTCTACACCTGTATGTATTTATTTTAGTAGATATTACTACACCTGTAGTTTAATAGAGTCACTCCTGCATACTGCAATGGATAACAAAGCAATTTGATGAAGCAATGCTGATTTAGGAAAGTCGCTGCTTGGAGAGGGATGTAATTGAGGAACACAGGAAGATTATTTTATGTAATTTGTGGATGTAATAAACGGAACACCCGGTATATTACTTAATGGTTTTTTTATTTTTTATGCTAGCTACCGTAGTTGAACTCATCTAAAAAGTTTTATTAGCTTGGATAATAAATTGTAATACAAATTAGACCTTCTGAATATATCAAAATATTTACTTTTTAGTTTTATTTTTAGTATTTTCACAAATTATACTTCCACTTCTTAACACTTTTAGAAAAATTATATAATAAACTAGCGTGTACCCGCGACTTCGTTCGCGTCGAATTAATTATTTGTAATGGTGATGATAAAGCAAAGCAAGCATTTCCATTAACATACAAACTGGATAAAATTTTGTCACATTTATGTCAGCATGAGAAAAAACAATATGGCGATATTATTATATAACTTGGTAATATTTGAGGGGTAGTTTCATCTCGTTGGAATTTGACTTTCGAAAAATCCGTTTGCCAAAAATAAGCTTTTTACGTCAAGCAGTTCAAGTAGAATAGTGGTTAATCAATTACCCAACTTTTTGGAACACCCTGTATAATTTTTTAGAAAATTTCAAAATATGTAAAAAACAAAATAAATTATACGTGTCCAAGCGTTTTCCCGAAAGACTAACCGTTTTTTAAATAACAAATATTGCATTATTTGAGGGGCGTTTTTACCCTCTTGGAATTAGATTTGAGAAACCCCTCCTTATCGATCACAGTCTATCCGTTTGCCAAAATTGTTTAAACGTCAAGCAGTTTAAGCAGAATCGTCTTTACTTAATGGTAATATTTTAAGAAACACCCTGTATAAATTAATTAAAAAATCTTAAAATATGTAAAACAACAAAATAAAATATACGTGTTTAATGGTTTTTTCCGAAAAACTCACCGGTTTTTGAATAAAAAATATTCTAATATTTGAGGGGTGGTTTCACCCCCTTAGAATTCGAGTTTCGAAAAATCCTTTCTTATCGAATACCCTTTTATCAATCCGTTTTCCAAAAATCAGCTTTTTACGTCAAGCGCTTGAAGCAGGATCGTAATTAATCAATGACCAGATTTTTCGAAACACCTGTCACATTTTTAAAAAATCTTAAATATGTAAAAAAACAAAATAAAATATACGTGTTTAAGCGTTTTCTCGGAAACTTGACCGTTTTTTAAATAAAAAATATTGAAATACTTGAGGGGTGGTTTCACCCCCTTGGAACTGGAATTTCGAAAAATCCCTTCTTATCGAACCTCTACACCCTAGAATCAACCTGTATGCCAAAATTGAGCTTCTTACGTTGAGTGGTTTGAGCAGAATCAGTGAGTCAGTCACTTAAGGATTTTATATATTAGTATAGATTTTCATACAGGTACTCGATCGCTATTAAACCCGTGTATTTGTTTATGCTGGTTGTTTGCGATATTCTCCGATCTGACAGCACAGGCAAAGAATCCACCAAGCCTATGGACTCAGAGACTTTAAATAAACTGACATTATTTAAGCTTTATACTATTTTTATAACAAATTTTAGCTGTTCCAGTCTCTTAGTCATTACCCTACTTTTTCTTATCCTTTTTACCTCCCCTCAACCCTCCATACCCACACCACTACGTCTAGTCGTTTAGAGTACACAGCTTTGAAATTTCGAAATGTCAGTGCCGTAGTAGTGGAGTTACGGACCATTAAAGACACTCATAAAATTAGTATAAATTACGGCCGAACGTTGGAATTCGGATGCCAGAAATCTCAGACCGTGAAAGGATCGTGGCTTTTTTGCCGGTGGCGAAAAACCCTCCCCTTTCCCCGTTTGTGTTTCCCCCACTGGAGCCAGACTTCCGGAAAAGTCCGACGTTTGCAATTAAAAATCCTCCAAAAGATTCTTGTTGCTCTAATTTCCATTTTTTCCCTCGGGGATTTGTCTCCATGGAAAGCCTGTTTTGAATTATATATTCTAGGGAATTTGTAATGCTTTTAAGAGGACGCGTGCTCTAGTTCTTTTCGTACGAGTATGTTAAACTACTTTGCAAGTTGATTAAAGTAAAATGCATAATTTATTCTACATATTCATTAATTATAAATTACGTATATTTTTATTCAAAAGGACTTTTAGTTAGAAGATTCTGAAAGACTCTAAGATACATATTAAATATTTTTTTGTAACTATAATCCACTGCTGGACGTAGCCCTTCCTTGTTTGCTTCCATAACTCCCTATCTTGAGCTATTTGCATCCAGTTATTGTGGATACGCCTTAAGTGGTAATGCCATATGGTTGGTTTGGTTTGGTTTGGACATTGAAAAGTTTGGTTCTCGTTGAAAATGTATTTCAATTGTCCATAGGTGGCCCAAGTCAGCCCTATTCGTCTGTATCTAACAATAATAGGTCTCTGATATTCACGAATCTCTAGTTGCCACCAATCAAGCGTTTAAATTTAAATTCACTGCACCATTAAACGAAACTTTAAAGTACATCTATAATTAACTGATTTGGAAAATGATTATTTACGAGAAGAAATCTTGAGTGTCTTTTGTGATTCTGGACAGTTGCAGATTTCAAGAAGTTCTAAAAATTCATCGATGAGTCACTATATGCATTTACCAAAAATCTCATAATTCTGAACTATGTAATATTACAATTTTGCTTCAGAATGGTTACTCTGCGAAGTCTCTCGACAATATAAAGCTAACAGCAAGACCGAGTCATTGGTGCAGCAGTCTATGACAGATACTCTTTCTCTTGACGATTCCATATTTGGAAGAAACATTAAAAAATATCAGGCTACTACCTCCAAGCAATATAACATTAAAACAAGTGTCTTGACAAACAAAGCATATTTGAAGTGAAACTTCTTCTTACTTCCGTCTCTCTGCCTGTCCGTCTGTCCGTCTGAGGGCTCTATTCGAGTACCTCTATCCACGTGCCGAGTTTGGTTCTAATCCACCGATAAATAAGAAAAATCCTGATGATTTCGTCCATTTACAGGCATCGGTTCGAAACGTCGAGGGCGTCATCTTGTAGCATGTCGGCAATGATGCCGAAATCGACCCACATTTTTCTTCAATATCAAATCCTTAGTCCAACCCTGATTAAGATATAAACGAAACGTCGCGCTTCGTATCCAACTTTGCAGGGTGGGACCGTATGCACCGTCGCACAGTGGGGCCGATTGCCATTTTTGCGGCCAGAACCTTATAAAACAGAAGTTGCTTTTTCAAAAAGTTTTGATGACCATAGAATACAGAAAAGACCGAAATATTATATTATGCACAGAAAAAAATGTTGGATGCAGATCTGTAACCAGTGAAGGGCAGTAATGTCGAAGGTTTAGTTCTACCGTGTATAATAATTGCAATTTGTAGGGCCCGAATAAAACGTAAAATTTCTACAAGTACAATACTACTTGACTATTTCTAGCTATATTTTGCAAAAAAAAACTTTTTCACTGATGCATACTAAATTAATTAATAAATTAGTATAATATAAAAAATAAAATATGCTATTTAACCTTGAGTTTTGTTGTGTGTTGAGTTGTGAAAAAAAATACAAGCTGGTGAAACTCCTAAAGTGATTACAATCCACATACTCGAATTTTATCCCCCGAACAAGAAAAAGCATTTTTGGAAAAAAGGGAAATTCGCAAGTTGATATTTTTTTAAAGTTTTTAATTATCTTGTTTTTAATATTGTATTTTTTTATAGGCGCATTAGTTTTTTTAGACCGCTGTTTGGAAAAATCTACAATTGTGACTAGGTTAGAATTATTCTTAGAAAAAATTCTATAGAATAGGTATAACTTTTGAAGATTGTTGTCTGAACCAGTTTTTTCACATATTGTAAATAAAAGTTGGCATTCATTTTTTAGCAATTATTATTGTTTGAATGCATCCAAATCATATCTTAACCTTTTGTCAGATTCTAGGAGCTAAAATTTTATTTGCTTCAGATGAAAAATCAATATACTATACACGTTACATTTGTCCCTCCTCTATGTTACAACTGTACCACCGCGGGGTACAATTGTAACACATGTCATCACACCACTGTTGCCTTTTTTAAGACTACATAGGTGAATATACCTTCGATTTCTTATGTGCATTTTGATGATAAATGTCTAGGCTATCTAAAGATAATAAGTACACTTCGCGAAATTTCTCATTCTATTTTTGAAAAATAAATTTCTAAAAACTGTTACAACTGTACCCGCTCTCCCCTACTTTGAGTAATAGATACTATACATAGACTTAGAATAAAATATAGACTGAGCATCTCATTCATAAATAGCTGGAAGATGCGGACAGACAACGTCTTGTTATTGTTGTGTTATTGTTTTTGGCTCTAACGAGTGCGACACGAGCGATAGATAGGCTGTCTCCGTCGTAACGGTCGTTTCCTGACGGCTCTGCCGCCCAACGCAACACTGTCTTTTGTTTCTTCAGTGCACCTGCACTCTCCGTATCATAGGCGGGTATTTTTTTATTTTAATGAAGCTATAATTCAATTAAAAATATATCGTATTTAAACTTTTTATATTATTAAGATTTAGGATAAAGAAAATAGTTTAATATAAAGCAAAGTTTAGGACTTAGAAAAAAAAATACGTCTTAGAGTCTAAAAACGATAAAAATAATAAAGTACGTGTTATAGAAGAAATTTTAATAATCGAAATTATTTAATTTTTGAAATTGATGATAAATTATTAATTTAATAAAATATTAATTTTAGTCAAACATTTACAACTCTAATATTAATCAAAACAGGATCTATTCTATAGATATAATAGAACAGAAAGAGAAAAAACTTTATAATTGTTTAATTTTTTTTTCCGGTAAAAGTGATGTCTTATTATGTAAATTAGAAAAAACAGGAATCTGTTCCATTAAAGCAAGCTTTTAGGAAGTGAATAAAATGAAAACTACATTTATTTAACTCGTTACTGTCTTTATTATAGAGTAAGTATAATAATGGTAATGGTGACTATACTTTATTCAATGGAAATATGCACCAAATTCAAACAAATATAAAAGGCATGAGTATAAACAGTATTACTACAGTAATATTGAACATTGGTTCAAAAATATTACATTAATATAATACAATATTACTGTAGGTATTACTGTCAACGTGCAAGCTTGTTTGAAGCTTGATGTATTTGTATGCGCTTGGTACATCTTGGCGTTGGAAAATGTATAGAAAATTATTAAGAAAAACTAGTACGTAATGGGGGATATCTTGATATACAGAGTGGTCGGAATTGTATTCAGGAAACTTTGGCAGCATAATCTGCAAATAAAATCAGTAAAAAAAATAGTATAAATTTATGTCCTAAAATGCTTCGTTTCAGAGATACAGAGTGTAGAAATTTCATTTTTATTTCGCTTTTTTCCAAATAATTTATGAAGAATGTATTGATTAATTCGTTTCCAAATATCTTGAGAACTATACTTGTGGCGAGTGTCAACAAGAGACCTTATTAAGTAAAAAACGTTGGAAATGTAAATTTTTCTCAGTAGTTTTATATAGATACAGACAAAAAGTATTACTCTTCAAATAACTTAAAAAATATGTAGGTGGCGCCCCCTATTAGTAAAAGTCAAATTGACATCTAAATCTAATTTTTCATGTCAAAAAACTCCCAAACGCCAATTTTCGTCCAAATATTGACGTCACTTCAGAAATTATTTGGAAAAAAATCGAAATAAAAATGAAACTTCTACACCCTGTATCTCCGAAACGAAGCATTTTAAAAACTTACAAGTTCATTTTTTTAGAAAGCCAATGCAACATTTCTGAGTTTCAAATAAAGATAAAAAACAGTAAAACATATAATAATAATATGTAAATTATTTTCTTGGATACATACATATATGGCAAATAATAACAGATTGTTTTATTAAAGATTTACGTTTTGGTTAATTCTAAAACTATCTTCAGATTATATGTGATATTACTTAAGTGATATTACATTATAAAAGAAAAAATGAAAATTATACCTTATAATCGAAAAAAAACGGCGTCAGCGATGGCTATGAAATGAAGATCGCTGTCATTTTATATGTAAAATTATATGGAGTATGTATCGATGGTTTTTTCCAAGCCAACTGGACGCCGTTTTTTTCGATCATACGGTATTACAAATTAATAATAGATTAACAGTCGAGAAAAAAAAAGAAAAAACTCTAGGTAAGTACTGGATAAATTTTAAAATGGCATATTTATTTTATCTTTGTTTAATATAAAAAAAACGAAATATCTACCTGGTTTACATAACCCTGTATAATTTGTGAAATAATAATGGACAAAAATGCAAGCGGTAAGAAAAATATTTACAAAAAATATGTACTTGTTTACATTTCTGGACCATTGTTCGTCATTTTTGTTATCATAATGGTGACCCTATCATAAAAACGTAGTTATTTCTATACCTGATGTGAAACTATAGGGAAAAAGTAATGTTTGTAAAATATTTTAGTCTTGAAAAAAAATAAGGAATGTTTGGTATTTTAAAATGTTTGGTAGCTTGTAATTTTTTCGACTTTCTCGATTGTTTATAGTTTATAATAAGCCTTAAAAATTGTTGTTTCATAATGGAATATCATTCTGGAATTCCTGTATGTTATTTTAGATTCTAAGGATGGTTTTAGAATAAAAAGAAACACATTTTTCATAAAAAAAAGCATTAAATTAACCAATGCCCAAGAAAATAATGTGTCTACTTCTTATGTACTTAATAATGTATCTACTCGTTATATTAATAACGAGGTTAGTAAGAACCTTTACGTAAATGATAAATATAAAAAATACAGATTTTCCAGGGTTTATAATTTACTAAATTATTATCTAAATAAGCGCCTTTCTACAACGCCACTGACGCCAAAATAGTAAATTTGACTTACCTGTGGAATGTTGTTCCAGGACTTAAATAGTCCAATTTCTTACAAATTTGGCACTGACGAACCATGTTTTATAGTTTTTAAATAAAAGGTAATCAAAATACTAAGAAAATCGAATCCAAAAAAATACAAAATCAAAACATCCAATAAAAACAATAAAATAGCCATGGCGAAACTGTGACAACAAGGTTTTACGACACGTGCTTTACTCTACTATGGCTCTACTACGAGAGAATAAAGAATGAACAGGCGACCCGGCGATTGATGGGTGTTGCCAAATTGTAAAGAATTTGTCATTTTTAAATAGTCTCCGACTTATAATTTAGTAGTATAGGGACTATTTAATACATCTTTCTACTATTAAACACTACTTTATTAAAATACAGTTTTAATATCTCAATATATGTGTATAACAACAAAAAATATTAATAATATTTTAGACGTGACAACATAGGCTGGAGGCGAAAGACTCAGACGGCCGAGGTCAGCTGCACCCAGGAGTAAACATGTTTACAAAAATTAATATTGGACCGCGCTTAAATGTAAATAGTGTAGTCTATATTTTATTCTAAGTCTATGATACTATAGGTCTTTATGATTTATTTAGATTAAGTTCGTGTGATTTTAATAAAATCTGATACTCATGAATCGCCTGTAATCAAGCACATAGTTAGGAGGTCCAAGAGTCCTAGACCCTTCAGTCCCACCCCACCTCAAATCTACAAATTTTGTGGGTTTCATACTATAACTTATTATTTGCTTAGATGGAACACAGCTCCAACATTATTATTATTTATAAGATTTTTTTTTCATAAACGTGGGACTAAGAACATCATCATTTAGTACAATAAGAGTACTCATCATTTGTGTCAAATAAACCTAGTTTGAATAAATTGCTTACAATAAAAGAGAAGTTTTGGATTTTTGTCCTCTAGAGCCATATGTTCGAAGCACTGTGTGGCGACTTAACTTATTAAAATATCCGCACGTAAATTCAAACTATGATATGTACTAAAATAATGAAACGATTTTAAAAATTTAAGCATTTAAACAAATTATTTTTTAAACACATTACATTACGCTAAATTTAAAACCTTTTAGTTGCTCCAATGCAAAAATAGAAGGAGAAAAAAAAATTCCGGCACCCAAAACCACCCTTCCCCCGAAATGGTTATTAAAATTTTTGAAACCCCCTCATCATCCGAAATTAATTTTTAGATGCTTGCCTGTAATAGGTACTCGAAAAATCTAGTCCATACTTTCTTGATTACGTGCCGAGTACTCATTTTGAGACATGTGAGACCACGATTGAAAATAATTATTTTTTTACTTCTTCAAAACTAGAATCCAAAAACAATATTTATTTTTTTATCAAAGTTGTTGGTTACATACGGATAAAAAAAATATATCAAACAGACCGATAAACAGACAGACAGACACACAGACATGCCACAAGACAACAATATTCAAAATGGTTTGCAAGGCAAAAGTGTAAAAATTTTGTCATCCGGGTATTTTTTCTCACATTATATTGATGAGCTAATATGCTGGGTATACACGTACGTAAACTATAATATAATTAACTAAAATTTTGAAGATTGACTACCTAGAAATTCAATTAAGCAAAAACTGTTAAATTCTATATATTTTTGATTGATTCATATATCTTTGAAGGTTTTGGCCAACGATTCTTCAATCAGCCCCACCGTGCGCCGCCGTCGCGTCGCTCACATAGCCTACCCACCAAATTTGACGTTTCTTACGTCAGAACTAACTGTCAAAGTGAGATGTGTCGTACACGGTCAAGTTGACTTTGGTCCAATCTATGGACATAGTAAATTTCATTTAAATTGGACGACTTTTTGATTTGATTCATTAATGATGGGACATAACAAAAGAAAGAATGCATCTACCGGGAGCCTTGGGAGTGCGGTGAGTTATATATTGGAAAGACAAAACGTTCTCTAAATGTACGACTTTTCGAATAAATTAAAAAGCAAAGAGAAAGAATGAAATCAGGTATTGCAGACCATTTGTCGTCCAAGCACCACAACATAAAATGATCCCGCATTGATTCATGAAACCCACCAATGCGAGTATTCTCAGTGGATAACCTCACTCTTTATTGCACCCAACATTTCCTTGAGAATGCTCTGCTCTAGTATACCTATAAACTCAATAGTTTCAGAATTTAGATTATGTTACATTTTATAATGGTCAGTGATACATCTGCCAATTGTCTACCACATTCAAAGAAAGATTCGAAAAGATTTATTTTAGCTATGAAATATTCAAAAACATTTGTGTTTACTGAAAGAACACACAGTCTGGACATTGTTATAACTATACTATTTATTATTGCTTCTAGTACAACAGAATTTACCCCAATAAGAGACCGCAAAGCAAACGAATTCCACTTTGGACCAGACACGTCTTCGCAAATTCGAACATGGTCTGCGACCTTCTTATCTGCCCCCCTTCCGCGCCACTGGATTCATTCAATCCTCGCCGACGTCAGTTTTATCTCTGCGAAACCGAATCTCCTTCTAACTCGCTCTCTGTAAAACAATTAGCAAACATCTGTCGGAAACTAAGTGGTTTCCAAACACTCGCCGTTCGCGCAACGCCTTCCGAGAAAGATGTGCCACGTTGTGTTTGTTTTTGTCGATCGAAATTTACCTGGTTTTCTGACTGCTGCTACCGTCGGAAATATTTGTGCCAAATCAACACACAGAACGGAATCACCGATCGCTTCGAAAAACGTATTGAGTATTTATGGGTATTATACAGGGTAAGGACGAAACTGACTTGAATAAGGAAACACTTTGCAATATCCCACCGAAAAAAAACGAAAATTATTTAACAGTGATTTTTCCTATCGCTAATTATACGATCAAACGAACTTACCTGAAGTGAAGTTCGATCGTAATTATATGAGGCGTCCAGTCCGAATGTATTATCTTGATTTTTCTATACGTAGTACCGTCCCTGCGTGCACGATTTTAAAGCTATAAGCTAAATTCCCTCCCGTTGCTAGTCTAGGTGGCGGCGCCGGCCCTGGCGCGGCGGTCGGTATTCATTTTTCAAAGATTTCAATTTTTCATTAATTCAAGCGACCATGGGGCAAAACGGGAAGGGTGGGAAGATAATACATTCGGACTGGACGCCTCATATAATTACGATCGAACTTCACTTCAGGTAAGTTCGTTTGATCGTATAATTATATTCGCGTCCAGTCCGAATGTATTATCTTGATTTTTCTATACGTAGATGTTTAAAGAACTGATGGTTGCAAATTAATGAATGCGGTGCAGAAAGCATTTTTTTGAGACAAAAATAGCTGAAATTATAAATATGTTTATTGAATGCAACCAAAATGAAACCAATTTAACGGCTATCAATACACGGATTTATTAAATTGTGACAATTTAACATATACATATATGCATACTAAGCAGAGACAGAAACCCATAAGATGGCACTTTCATAAAGGATTCTGCCAAAATTGTTCAATTATACTTTATAAACCAGTTAACTCATCGTGTCGATAGAAATCCCTGTCTCAATGTAGAACTGCGTGGATAACTCGACTATAGTGAGGTTTAACCGATATATATTTTTTAAGGTGTTTCTAACCCATTGCTTAATATTTAAAAGACCTTACTTTTTAAGCCATTAATATTAAACATTTGAATGTTAGACTTTGGTAGTAAGAAATTAAGATTCTCAATATATATAATTTATTTTCCAAAATGCTTTAATTACGTCGATGAATTAAACCAGAGTCATCATATAGATTAGATTTCGATCAATACATTGGTATGGATATTGTGGACATTGATATAAAGTAGACACAGATATTGATCTGTATCAATTTTATACCAGAAGTTTTATTATTATTTGTATTATTTTTTTTTTTTTATAATTCAGTTTCTTTTATGATATGCATATATAATTATATACTGACTAAAAACAAACTGACATCTGTCTTTCTAGATTCTAGAAAGAAAGATTCTAGATAAGAAAGTAGAACTGTTAGGGAACATTTATGGTAAAATTTTAATGCAGTAAACCTTAGACACATCATATCTTACAAAAGCCTCTTTCAACGAGAAACCATCCAGAGATATTTAAGAAAAAATTGAAAGTCTGTGAAAGTTTACATTAATGTTATTATAATCATCTCTTTTATCTAATTCTAATATTCCGTTATTTACGTCCACTTCGTTTTTCTCTAAAAATAAATATTATACAATACTTACAAATTGTTCCTTGTGTTCTACCTAGCTGTAGAACACCGTATATTACATAGTAATATCTAAAAAGAGTAGAGAATAAACAAAATGGCTTCATCGATCTACGACGAAGATATCGGAGAGCTGCGATCCGCACTGCACCGTGCACGAAAGACGAATGAATACCGACCGCCGCGCCAGGGCCGGCGCCGCCACCTAGACTAGCAACGGGAAGGAATTTAGCTTATAGCTTTAAAATTGTGCACGCAGGGACGGTACTACGTATAGAAAAATCAAGATAATACATTCGGACTGGACGCGAATATAATTATGTATCTGGACCCTGAAAACTGTGAACAGAAGGTTTTCGAAATGTGGACCTACAGAAGAATGCTACGAATTACATATATACAGAACATCGGGATCAACCTCTCAGTTCTAAAGCAGCTGAAAGTCGCCACAAGACTTTCCACCAAAATAAACAAGTTATAGAGAAGAAACTTTAGGTACTTTGGATACATTTCGAGAAGAACAGATGGACTGTAAAAACTCATCATCGAAGGAAAGATTAATGGCAAACGACAAAAAAGATGGTCTCCAATGTGCTGGATGGACCAAACTAAAGAAATTTTTGGCCAGGGTCTAGATATGGCAATAATAATACTTAAGTGGGGATTGTCCACTCACAATACCCGCATAAGTTGTATAAGTGTTTGCCATATTATTTAAAATTCCATACTTGAATGGCGAAAGATATTTATTGCTAGATATGAATTTAGTTTCTTAAAATTTACCCTTTTCCAATGGGGTTCTGAATAGAAATAACCGAATACTTCCGGTTTCACCGAAAATAACTGCAACAT